TCTTACTACAACTACGGGTTGAAAACGAAACGAAGTCGATTTTCCTGCGCAACCTGGAGGACTACTGTTCAATTCAATAATGATACCACATGGGTCAGACAATGAGTGTATTTATATATATATCAAATATTTAGCTGTTCAAACATTATTAACTTGTAGACGATCTACTATTTGTCATTATGTCATACATGATCGTGCCTGTAAAAATGGCATGCATTTTCGTGTAAATTTATGTTTATATGAAAATATAAATTATTATTATTATAGATTGTCTACAAGTTAATAATGTTTCAACAGCTAAATATTTGATACATATATATGTATATAAACACTTATCGTCTGAACCAAGCCGTATGATTATTGAAGTGCACAGTAGTCCTCCAGTTTGGAATGACACCAATATTCATTAATAATGATTATTGGGGGTTTATATACAAGCGTGTATGCCCTGAGCGTCAACAGTTTGCTTAGGATAGATCTAGCATTAATAAGGATTAGGTAAAGTTGAGAGTTGAAGTGGTGTTTGAAGTATTTAAGCCCGTTAATCAGGCCCAAGTGTGGTTTGGCGTCCACTGGTTCCGCTTGGCGTAACAACCCTGTGTTACAGTCAGTATGGGTACCACGTTCACCCATGTCTACAGAGTTACTATCTATTTCTTTTCGTGAATAATGAGTTTTATTATTGGGTTCACTATTGGATGAGGTAATTCTGGGCTTCGATAGGTTGGGGACATGAGTAGGAGTTCCTATTTGGCCTATGCTTGTACAAGAATTGGATGTGATTAATAATTCCGTGTGCATTGGACTGTGTCTGTTTTCTTTCCGATAGGGAGCCGATATTAGTAATACGGGTTCAGAAGAGTTAACATCCCCACCAGTTGTTTGGTCATCGCTGACAGGCATGTAGCGGATAAAAAATCATTTTACCTTATGATGCCCATGACTTATTAACCTGCCTATTGTTTGGAGACATTCTAAGTGACCATACATGGGTTTCGTTATATACATTGCTGCACTGTGGTTTGATTCCCGGAGGAACTGTTGCGTATATTCTGTCAAAGATGGTTTGTGTGTCATACTTTGAATACCCAGAGCGGTTGGTGGCTGAGCTCTGAGTGTTGTCATCTGTGCCATTTTGCCTTATGTTGCTACACCAGCTATTAGTGTGGGCTTTAGTGTGACTTGGCATATTATGCGAGCATGTTTTGACGCTACTGTCCGAATGTGCGTCGGTGGCACAGCGGTTAGGACTCTCACCGACCATGCACATGGTCCGAGGTTCGATCCCCCGCCGACGCACACCTGATATCTATGGTCGGCCTGCTAAATTTGGGCTACCGATATCACATGCTGAAAATTTCATACTTGTACCAAAATACTGTGTGGAATCAAGCTGTAATGAAAAAATGGCCTTATTTCTACTTTTAATGTGGTTGTTATATTTATTATTTACCTTACAGCATGCATTCTTCTTAGCAGTTTGAAAATGTAGGGGATTTTTCGTCAAGAGTTGCGTATTTCGGCATGTTTCGTAACTGACTTCTCACGTTAGGGCTAAGAGAGGATGTTGCCAACTTACGAGAGGTATTGATTTCTGTCTTAGGGCTATCCAGAGACAGATCTAGATCCACAGTGGAGAGTGGAGAGGCTAATTTATGAGTAAGATTATGATTCACTAATCTTCCCGTTGGTGTCATGTTCTGTGGAGCTACTTTTGTGAGTTTTGAGAGGGGGGAGGCTATGAGTTCTACCGTGTTGACCATGCGTTTATCTACCTTGGTGACTTGCGGTGTCTTACCATTAGGTTTAGTGAGGTGATTATAACCACGCCTTCCAGTCACTGTCTTATCTGCTGCAACTTTTATTTGTCTGTACCTCGTATTCTGTTACAGGGTAATTCGTGAATTGATGAATTTCTTAGCCTCTGTCTGTGTTTCAAACTGAAGACGTATAGGGCAGCGGTGGTCGTGCTGACTCTTTTTCAGTCTGTGGCACTTTGCTTGGGGGTTTGGCGTTTTCGCCGCCTTTTTTCAACCCTAATTATCTGGCTTATTGCAGACTATCATACTTAGTCTTTATCTAGTCTTTTAGTAACCTCTGTTGTGATGAAGTTTATCAGGATGTCTACCTTAGTTACCGATTCTGTGTCAAGCTCGCCGGGGGTAATGGTTCTGGTCAGGATGCTCGGGAGTATAAGTCCACAGATCTGCGAATTTATGTCACTAATCTGCGTTAATAGTTCAGATATACTGGCCATATTTTCTGAACATCTTGCATTCATAGTGTTATTATTATTACTACACCTCAGTCTTCGGCTCTTCTAGAGACAGCTTTAGTCGTTCTATTTCTGAAGCAAGTCTGCAAGTTGGGCTTGGTATCTGAAGTTTGTGACAAGTACATAAGGTATAGTGAAGAAGTCTATGTCAGAACCATGTGCTGAATTAGTAGGAGCGATGCCGCCACTGGTTGAAAAAGTACATTTTTGCTGTCAGATCCTGTCACAGTAGATGGTACTGACACAGCAGCTCGTTGCTCGCGACGTATTGGCAAGCTATACGCCTCACTTTCATATTTTGTACGGGTTGTGTTGCTCATTGTTGCAAGCATATATGTGCTATCACTCCTCGAGATAACAGGTGACTGAGTTCGTATCTTTTTTATAAGATTAACCATAACTAATTAGTGGAAGAGTTAATGGTTACAATCATGGAACTGGAGAAACACCGCCCGAGTCTCAAAGCAAAAATAGAAGTGCATAGCGAATCGAGCTGAAATGTGACGCAAACGTTGAACGTACGGTTACAAGATTTCAAAGAATATTTGTCTCAAAATGCAAAGGCACAACCTTAAAAATTTTCCGTACATGAGCTTCCGGAATAAAACACCCAATGGTGTCCCAAACCTGACTACTGACAATGACAAAATCGAAGATTAAGAACAAGTAGAGGCAATGGCAGACTACTTCTCCCAAGTTTTTAAGCTGGAGTTGTCACTTCCCGTAGGATCGGCTCTGGCTGCAGCAGAGGAACACGGGATAGATTCCGTCGACGTCGACCAAGACATCGTGCTCAGCCGCCTACTGAAACTAGATGCAAGGAAATCAATGGGTCCTGTTAATCTATATTCAAGGCTTCTGGAGGAGCTATGAGCTCACAAAGCCGGCTCACTGACCACGATCTTCAAGCTCTCCCTCGTAAATGCAGTGTTAGCGAGTGACTGGAAAGACGCCATAGTAACCCCATCCACAGAGTATGATGAAGAAAAATCCCTTCGAACTGCAGGCCTATTAGTTTCACCAGCACTTCAATCAAGACGCTGGAAAGAATCATCAAGAAAAGTATCAGAGCATATCTGGAAAACAACAATTTTTTATCCAGAGAACAGCATGGCCTCCTAGAAAACCTCTAAGCCTGTCAAATCGTTTCACTGTAAGAGAAAGCTGAGTCACATCAGGGGACAACAGAAGACCCGTCGAAGTCATCTTCGTAGGCTTCAGCAAAACCTTTGATAAAGTGCCTCAAAAAAGACCACTCAAGAAGTTGAAGAGTCTTGGTATCAAAGGCAGCTTACTAAATTTGGTTAGGGAATTCCTTATAGGTGTGAGGCAGAGGGTTAAGATTAACTCAAAACTCCCTTCCTGGATGTCAGTGTAGCGCAGTACCACAAGGCAAGGTACTCAGACCCCTCCTATTTATTTTGTATATCAGCGAGTTATCTCTGCTCACCAATTATCCTATGATAATAATTTATATTTCGTATAAACGGGTAAGTTTACAAGAAATGCATACCATTTTTACAGGCGCGACCAGTAACGTTATAAATTACAATCCTTAAGTATCATAATTTAAAACTTTTTCGAAAGCTTGAATTGTTCAATTGTTGTACAAGCAATCAGAACAGGGTCTTACAAATGTTAAATTTTAAGCCGTTTACTAAGATCACCATCAAAGTTGAGCAACAACTCAAACTTCGTTCCGTTTCCCTCGTCATGGTCATCCAGTGAACAGCGTATATCTGGGTGGGTGCTATGTCGCCACGTGGTTGGACACTATTCCAGGAAGAGGAGAAAATTCTGCGTAGCTGCGAAAAGGTATAAAATGCGATTATGAACAATACATTATTGGAAGTATATTTACAAGATAAATACAAGGAGAAGAAGCTATATAGCACTTGAAATGATAGTTTACATTTGGTCCTACATGCAGATGACTTGAAAATCTGGAGAGAGCTAAAGAGCAATAGTGATACGCTGACGTTTCAAGAGGACCTCAACAAATTTCCAGAGTGGTCCAGAGAATAGATGCCATAGATCAATTTAGCGAAATGTGCAGCCATGCGCATCGGACAAGCAAACATCAGCTCCTACGAACTAGAGGGAATAACACTCCCATCAGTTCAGACTCATTCGGATTTAGGTGTTATAACCACGACTTAAAAACTACAACACACTGTCACGCGGTTTGTTTCAGAGCCCTATGGGTGATTCGTAGAGCCTTTACTAGAATCACTAGAGATATGTTCACCTCCTTATACACATCTCTGGTTAGGTCAAGGCTGTAAAGCTGTCTTAAATGGGATTCACATATTCTATAAAGGGTTGAAAGGAAGGCAACACTTATGGTTCCTGGCATGAGCAATTTATTATACGAGGGAAGACTAGACAGTTTAAATCTCTTCTCCCTCTTATACCAAAGGCAAGAAAGAGATCTAATTACAGTGTTTAGAATCTTAAATGATGATTACAGGACTGATCTGTTTTCTCTTTTCCTTTCCACCAGGTAAGAACGACTTAGAGGACATGGCATAATAGTTCAAAAGAAAAGGAGAAACCATAAAGCTGTGGAGTATTGGTTCTCGTACAGAGTCATAAAGTGGAACAGACTCCCGGAAGAAGTGGTGTCTGCAACGTCAACTGATTCATTCAAGAAGGGTTTGAAGAAGAACATAAATTTACCATTAAAGGATTAACATAGGCTCCAAGCCTCCTATTCTCGACCAGTAAATCTGAAATCTGAACATAAGCTTCAAGCCGTTTTCAAACCATAAGGCCGAATCCAATGTGCGCAATATTGAAAACGTACGTTACAAATAGTAAGTTTATTATAATCAAAGCAGTACTGTAGAAGTAACCTTCGTAAACTGATAAATATCACACTTGAACATGATTGCTTAAGTTAATATGCAAATTCTGAAACACCACCTATAGTCGGGTATTTCCCGTTCTTAAGTGGATATATCCACTTGAGTGCTATAGCACTCAACAGTTATTGTTTGATATAGATGTATTGGCATTATGTACACTGTTAAGTCTTTCACGTTCGTGTATACGAGACTTAAAAACAGCTTTTCCATTATATTCTTGGATATGAATATTTGAGATAATATGAGTCCAGACCCTAATCGCTGCTGAATCCTGAAGCTTTACCTGGTCCCAATGGTTATGCACAATACTTTTTATATACATCTTGAGATAGTGCACTGAATCTGATTAGGCTTTCAATATACGATAATGAGCAGTGACCTACTTGTTTAGTAAGTGAAGTAGCGCATATCCCAAGTTTTCCCTGCTATGGACCCAACTGTAGAAACAGTAGGATTGCGTATTATGGATTTTCAACCTTTGATTAAGATACAAGGCAGTCGGTAATATATTACGATTATTACGAATAAAAAATAGTCAGAACTTTCAGCTTCTTGTGATTAAACGTTAGTCGACTTGATAAAAATCTCAGTAATATAATTTACTACCAGTTGATGTGCATGTCAGTGATACTTTTCCCTCTTGCGCAGTGGAATGGGGTGGGTTTGCTGACCTGTTGGTTGATGGGTATTTAGAATCTCCTTTGAGTTTGTATCAGGGGTGGCCAGTTTCAATAATGGCAAGCAGAGTAATTAAGAATAGCTGTGAACAATCATGTATGTAGCATAATATACCGAAAACCGGAATATAGTGACTGTGGAGCAGCAAGACACGCACAGTGGTTAAAACTATGTCCATACTGGCAAGGATACCTAATATATAAGAAGAAGCGACGCTACTTAGGTTAACGAGCTTGCCTACTTCAGCTCATTGCAGTACAGAGACAACTAGATTAGCTTTAACTCCAACTTTAGCATTCAACTGATGGAGCATATATATATATATATATAAATCCAGTATCTTATCACCCGATCCATATTATTCAACATTCTTCATCAAGTCCTACAGTTACATGACCTGAATAATTAAAGAATTGTTGTTAGTAACATTACTCTTTTTAAATCAAATCACCAATATCAGTAGATTACAGATCAAAAGTACTTGTAAGCGATAATATACATCATTATAAATTTGAATTGCATATCAAACGAATTTTAAAAAAAGTAACAGGGAATTATGTGGATTTATAGCTCCCATATCAGGCCAGGGCTGGTTGGGCCTGTTTCTTTCGCATCCACTGCCGCATTTGTTGTAAGCGAATCCCAGTGGCCTTTGCTGTTTGAAGTATTCGGTATTTGGAGGCCTTTGACAGTTAATTCTGTATTGGAGAGACGATAGGGAAAGATTCTTCTTCTTCTTCTAATGGAAAACTATTGATGGTTTTAATAGCACCTCTATTTATCTACACTAAGAAATTAAATTTCCAGGAAGACGGCCTAAAGCCTTCAATTACTGAACACAACAGAGGTAATTACAATCTGCTTAAAACAACTGGAGTTTGGTGTGCAAAAGAAACAGATACAACCAATATTACTACTGCCCTGGTTTTCTTTGCAACCTTTTGCAACTTTCTAGCAGAAATTGACTTAATCTCAAAATATATTGAGTTTACTAATGAAGTAGAATCGGCTGAAGGAACTCTAAAGTTTCTTGATTGTCTTGTAAAAAGACAGACTGACGAGAAGCTAAAGCTTACAATATATGGAAAACCGATACATTCCAGCAAGTATTTGAATTCCTAATCGGATCATCCAATAGGAATGAAAGTTTCAGTAGCTTTAAATCTCGTTACCATAGCTAGAAACATTATAACAGATAATGATGATATGGAGAACGAGATATCCAATAAAAAACAGATTTTGATTGGAAACGGTTATCCGGAAAAGCTACTAGGTAATATTATCACTAAAAAGGAGCATAAGGGAAAACAGAAAATTAAAAAATCTTGGCTATCGACGATAGCTATTCCATATCGAAAGGAGACAGCTGAACAACTTCAAAGACTATTTGCTTCATATAATATTAAAGTCTATTTCAAGCCCTCTAATTGTTTAGAGAAAGCTTTGGTGAATGTCAAAGATATGGTTCCCGAAATGTCACAAAACAATTATGTCTATAGGATAAAGTGTTCAGAATGTGAAGCTTGCTATATAGGGAAGTGCAGTAGACAGGTGAAGGTAAGAGTGAATGAATGTAGACTGTACACGAAGCGTCTATCTAGAAATGAAGTAGAATTAAAAAGTCTAGAAAAAAGATCAGCTATAGCGATGTGTGCTATAGACAGCGGACATCATATTGATTTCGACAATGTCGAAATTCTTGGGACAGGATTTCATTCACCTAAAGAAAGGTTGACCTCTGAAGCCTTACACATTTTAAGCACATCGAATACAGTGAATAGGAAAGAAGGGATAGACTTATCACTATATGGTGAACTCTAATGAAGCAAGACAGATGAGAAAACAACAAAAACCTCTATAAAAATATCACGTTTATCACTGACGTCTTTTCCATATGACAAATAACATACACTCTCACAGACAAATATACACAATAACAATTTAACATTAGTCATTACAAATATATGATGACTGCTTACATCTTTCCATCGGTACAAATGACCTCCAAATCAACTGACTTCAGTTTATGTAAACATTTTTTGACCATATATTTTGATGATTAATAAAATCCGAATAATTTTGCTACTGAAGAGGCTGTAATGACTTATACAGCGAAACATTCAGAAAATAGATCTTGTTTTGATTTTTTCTTAAACATGCTGGGATTAATTCAAATAATTTATTATATATTCATCAAGTATTGATTTTGTAGGGATTTTGTTTTATTGGTTGCAGGATTTCATCATGAGCTGGCATCAGTTAGGGAACCATTGGAAAACCTACGGGGAGTACTGGACAGCTGTTTCGCCCTAGTTTGGTAATCTTCATCAGTACACACCCGTCAGGGTTCGAACCCAGGACCATCTAGTTACAAGGCGAGCTTGTAGACCATTGAACCACTGGAACCAGATCCAATGCCCCATGAATTCTAACTTCTGCTAATTCACGACATAACGCGACCATTTCGGAATGTATTCATCAATTCAGGGTTATTTTCTCAAAATTTATCTGATATTAAGTTTAGTCTTATATTGATGCATATTATCACTTCTACATATTTTTTTAAACTGTAATCTGTAGATATAATAATTCGACGTTATTTAAAACAATGATGTTGTTAGTAACAACGATCACTGTTAAATTACTATTGATAAATAACTGTAGAGAACTTGATGAAGAAGTTATAGAAAAGAATATTCTTTATATATGTCCAAGCCAAGTTCACTTTTAACAGTTTGAAAAAATTTGGGCATTGGGTAGATGATACTCATTATAATAAAGGCATTTTTTGTATTTCCCAATGAATGAAAAAGACAAAACGATATTGTTGTATTTACTGACGTTTCGCTATTTAGTGCTGCTGCTAATAGCTTTATCAAGGTAGTAATATTAAACCAGAATTTACAAAATCTCAGCATATATATGTACAACAAAGAGTTAAGAGGTGAGAAAATAGTATGGTTGAAAGTGTATTCCGAAAACATGGACCTCAACAGTTGTCATTCCATATACAGCAGAGACGTCAGACGATATCAGAAGAGTATTCAATAAGCTCGACATCAGAGTTTTCTTCAAAACATAAGATACACTGCAAAACAACCTTGTCCATATAAAAGATCAAATCCCTAAAATTATCTAATTGTGTCTATAAAATAAAATGCTTAGAATGTGATGCGATATACATCGGACAAACATCTCGAGAAATCAAGGTTATCAGAAGAAATGAACACCAAAGAGCCGCCTCTGTTTCGATCACCGAGAAATCCGGTCGAACTAGAAAAGCTTGAAAAATCATCACTCAGAGGTGGTCTACACACTGCAGAATCAATATTAAGATCATCATCCAGAAAAAGCATTTCAGAAATCACAAAGAACGTCTCATATCATCAGAAGCACTTCATATGATCAAATGGAATCCAAATTGTGTGAATAGGAATAATGAAATTTGACCTGGTCACAACACCCCGAATTTCTCGCATGAAGTGACATAATCAACACGAATGTGATAAGCAATTTTATTATGTCAACAAACGCTGTTTTTATAATTCTACACACTTATCAAATCCAACAGTCATCCACACCTGGTTTTGTTATCTTTACACCAATTGGTCAACTGGACAACGCAAAAATGACCGAATGCTGAGGAACGATGATGATTAAGTTGTTGCATGATGTAAGCTGAGTGGATTTTGTAAATTCTTCAGGTTTAATATTATTACTTTGATAAAGCTATTAGCAGCAGCATTTGGAATAGCGAAACGTCAGTAAACACAACAATATCGTTTTGTCCTTTTCATTCATTCACTGGGAAATACAAGAAGACTCTTCTTTTTATTATGAAGAATATTCTTTGTTCGTGAATCCATCTTTTGAGTTAAAAAACAAAAAGGTTTCATTCTTTCACGCCTTCATCTTTGCAGATTGTTGTCTTAGGAACCGCCGCCATCGCTTTGCTTGCTTTTGTGAGGAGAAATACAAATAAATGTCAGGTGTTTTTGTAGCGAATCCTGCTAGATACGTGATTGCCGAAGAGGCAGTGAGTGTTGAACGTGTAAGTTTCCCTTTTTTGTTAGTTAGTTTGTTAGTTTTCGTGTTTTTGACTTAAATGTTGACACACTCAATCCAATATGCAATTGTCTTTTTTTGTCCTTTCTTTTTTAGCTTTTAGATGAAAATGAGCATATTATAGAGTTGATTGCTGATTTTGTTAAAAAGGGGCGATTTTATGAAGCTGTTCAAATGCAGACTATCCTACAACGGAATCTAGTCTATCTTGTTTCATTGGTTGATCAGTATAACTTGAATGCAAGTGAATCAGCTGAAAATACTGATAACATGGACAGTACTACAACAACAACAACAGCAGCAACAACAACAACAACAACTACTACTACTACTAATAATAATGAAATCAATATCGATAATAATAATAATGAGATGGTTATTGATGAGTAACTGTATAGTGCTCTTATTCTTTTACCTTTTTATTCTCCGTACACATTTACTCTTGTGTTACTGTGTATGCCTCTCATTGTACATACATAATTCATGCCTTTTTATTTATGGATGGATAGTACATTATTGTAGATTATTGTGAGCAGACAAACACAGTCTTCTGATTGGTGGTTTCTCGCTGAACGTCAATCTTTCATCCATTTGTGGCCGTTTATTGAAGTTCACATTATCTATCTGCAAATTGTATCCGCCTACGCAAAGTCTGCTCTGACTGGTTGTTGAATCAGTCTTTGTTCTTATTTTTCTCACGACCAATCTTCGGGTGGTAATCATTGACTTGAGCTACTGTCTACCGATTCGGCTAGCAGCCAGCTCTCAACACACTCGTCGCGCCGTCAAAGACTTTCGACTGAAGTTGGTTCGGTCTTCTTTGTTTTCAGGGGCTTTGTTCGTTTGTCTTGCTGTCTGGAATCTCGTTGCTCGCTGATGTTCACCTGTTTCTCTTTGTTTACCATTGCGATTGTGTCTGCGTGACCCCATCTCAAAGTGACCCTATGTGGTCCTTCCCACTTTGGAAACTGTTTGCCTGACCCTGTCGCACATTCGTCGGTATTTCGCCTCACACTTTCATATGCTGCTTTCTCCCGACCTCCCAGCAGCGTCCCAAGTAACAGCCTCATCGCGAACAGATCTGGAATGCCACTCAACTGCGCAGAAGCCTCGAAGTCCTGCTCGAAGATCCATATGTCTCCATCGAAAGCTGCAGGGCACAGGCTCTCCATTTGTCGGTAGGCAGCGACACCAAATGTAACAACAGAATGCAAGTGCCAGGCAACATATCGTTTGTTTAGGAAATCAACAGATATTTATCGATTTTCATGTACATTATTGTAGATTATTGTGAGCAGACAAACACAGTCTTCTGATTGGTGGTTTCTCGCTGAACGTCAATCTTTCATCCATTTGTGGCCGTTTATTGAAGTTCACATTATCTATCTGCAAATTGTATCCGCCTACGCAAAGTCTGCTCTGACTGGTTGTTGAATCAGTCTTTGTTCTTATTTTTCTCACGACCAATATTGGGGATGTAAACATGGACGTAAATTACTGTCTACCAATGTGGCTAGCAGCCAGCTCTCACCACAGTGTGACACACATTAAATTGTTAACAATGAAACAAGTTGCTCAGTAGGAAAAAATAGAAGTCTGTCTTTGGTAGATTCATTTTTCTCTTTATCTGTACAATTGCATTTATATTCAATTTGTTTTTTTCTTCATAAAGGAGACTAGTAAAGAAAAGTGATGAGTTATTGTTATATAATCACAGATAGTGTCAATATTATTTAGTCAATCAATGCATGAAAGGTGTTGAATAAGGATGTTAGAGTTCCGTTACAGTATGAGCAATTTAATGAATGAGTTGTATATTAAGAACACAATATTCAGCGAAGAGACTCTTCTCAGCAAGGAATTTATTATCAAGCTGTACAATCGTACATATATATGGTTTGTTTAAGAAATTATATCCGGTGAGGGAATTAGGTCAACGGTGTGAATGCATAAAATAATAATAATAGTAGTATGAAATGCAATTAAAATATTTGTTTTTATAATCACAGTTAAATGTCAAGTAGCAAAACAATTAATGTCATGTATAGAATAATACATAAGATGTATAGATATTGTTGGAAAGGTTAACGAAGTATAAGCTAGATAGTTCTGCCACATCTATGTGCAGTTATCAATTCAACCGTACCTGAGGTGACAGTTATGTTGGGCATACTACTAGACAGCTTAGCCAACGTGTTAGTGAACATCTCTCATCATCGTGGTTTGGCAAAGGACAGCCAAAAACTATCTGTAGCTCAATTTTCTCACATTTAGTTAGTTGATAGTGATCATGTAGTAGAGAAAACGAGAGCTTTCGAAGTGGTGATTCATCGCATCTCACTGAATCTTTCCAATAGACTTCGTATTCGTCTACTGCACACATCTGAGGCGATAAGCATTCGAACAAATATGAAGCCTAAACTATGAATTCAACTTGACTCAGCACTTAAACTACCCCCAGGAAGTTCGCGATATCTCTAGTTTAAATGTGTTTATATATACACTGAATTGATTTTGTCTTTCGCTCTGTATGTCTGTCTGTCTATCTGGATTCAACATAGAACTTGGCGCCGAAGTGCAGCAGTTCGAGTTGCCACATTCCAAATAGCGCATAAAGGTAGACAAGAAGATGAGTGATGAAGAGAATCAATAGAGTTTTGACAAGTATAAGAGTGAAACAGAATGAGTAATGGTAGAAAGGAATATGAAAGGTTAAAGAGACTGAATACATCTGCGTAAGCCATTGACAATGATTTTGAGCCATGCCACCTATTGTCTCCAGCCATTGATTCTTAGAGTCCCGAGGGTGGGCCCCAACCCGGAAGTCTGCATCTCCCTACCTGACTCAGTTTAACTGTCAAAGGAGGATTTCATGGATTGATTGATGCCATGCTTTTGTTTGGCCACCACTTACTCTTTTCCAACCTGCACCTATATCAGGTGGTAATGCCCATCGGGGGAGGCGATGCTTAGGCATGCGCAGCACGTGACCTAGCCATCTCACTCTATGTATCTTTATAGCCTCTTCGATTGATTTTTCCTCTTTGCCCAACACTCTACGCCTAATGTCAACATTACTTACCTTATTATACCACCTAACGTGAGAAAGAGATCGTAAACATCTGTGGTCAAAAACAGTCAACCTTTTCATGTCTTCAACTCGTGTTGGCCATGTTTCATGTAATTAATTCCTATGTAAGATAATTTCTCACTGCATTCCAAAAAAGAGTACAGAATATCAATAATACGGTGTAATCCACTCCATATTGTATTATTATATATTGGGAGTTCGAGTAGATTAGTATTTATTCAGTCAACTCAATCAAGAAGTTGTTACATAATAAATACATCAGTCTGTCTGCATCTCCACATACGTCGAATAACTTTTTTTCATCCTGCACTGATTTTCAATTTTAAGCTTTATTTAAGCCATCTTCATGTATCACAAATGGTTAGTTAAACGTGCATAATATACGTGTCAGTCCCTGTCCCTAAACCTGGCAGTACCAAGAACGTAAAGTTCAGACCCATTGTCATCAGTTCCCGTTTCTAAAGCTTATGGAAAAAACGAGTACTTCTTAAACTTGAACCCTCCCTTAAAAGTTTTGGAGACCGCAAACAATTTGCCTATAGACAGGGTAGGAGCAGTTTAGACGCTGCAGCCGTCTTACACAACAGTATCGTCTCATCACTAGATAAAGGTGCCAAATTCGTCCGCTATACGCTTCTCGACTTCACTTCTGCTTTCGACTCTGTACCTAGATGTCTCTTGCTAAATAAGCTCTCGATGGCAAAATCTGAGTCCTGGGTCACTAACTGGTTGCATTCCTACTTCTCTAACAGAATGCAGTACACCGTATACAAAGGTGAATCCTCCTCTGCTGCGCTCACTGAAGTTGGTGTCCCCCAAGATGCTGTACTCTCCCCACTTCTCTTTTCTTTCTTTCTACATGACTTACCATCTTCAAATGACATTAATTTTGTTGAATATGCTGACGATATGACTGTATTTTTGCCTGTCAAATGTCAAAGTGACTGCTCTAAACTTAATGGCTTTCTATCAGAAATCAGCCAGTGGTCCAAGGAAAACGGTCTTACCCTAAACCCCTGCAAATGCCAAACAGTCAATTTCACCTTGAGGCATAAATCTGATCTAAACAAACTGGTTAGTTCTCACGAGGTGTGCAACATAGATGGCACTGAAATAGAAACCAAGTCGGAAATCAAATACCTAGGCGTCATTCTATCTGCTGATCTCTCCTGGTCGTCTCATATCTTGGCGATTTCTAAGAAAATATTCTGTCTTACCTTCTACGTCAAGAAGTTAAAACATTCTCGTATAACCCAACCCCCTTACTCCTACAATTCGTTAACTCTCGCATTCTGCCTATTATTCTCCATTGTTCCCCCTTATTTTTTCCCGGGTTACTGAAGAAAGACTATAACATATTACGCAGGATGTTAAAGGTTGTCAGCAGGGTAAGCAACGTGCCACTTAACCAGCTTGTTAATATTCTGGTTGACAGGCACATGGACTCATGTGAAAAATGGGCCAAATCCATTTTATCTAACTCACACCACCCTCTTCACTCACAACTCTCCCCTTGCATCTCATCAGGTAAAACCAGAAGCCTATATAGAAAACTATATGCTCGCACCAGCAAGTACAAAAACTCAATCATACCCTACTTAGCTCGTGTTTTGTGCGATAAAGAAAGCATTAGGAGTGACACCTATAATTCATGAAATAGTCAGTAGTAAAACTAGATCTCGTCTTTCCAACTCATACCATTTGTAGGTACAACATTTCCTCTCTTCCTTTTCCTTTTCTCTCTTTTTCCGTTATGTGCTGCTTTGTTTCTTTCTCTCGCTTACGCCAGTAAATATGACAGCCCCTACTTTTTTATCACCTTCAAACACTGTTCAGCGTTGGCTTTGCTACCGACATGACAATGTGTTGTTGTCATAATGAACTGAGATTTCCCTAATCTATGTAGAATTCTATTTATTGAAAATGTATTAACTGGATGCAATACTGTAGTAAAAGTGCTGAGAATTCCATTTTGTATCACAGGCACTGTTTTGGAATAAAGGAAATTATTATTATTATTATGGTTGCGCTAAGATCATGAATTGGTAGAAGTTGGGCTTCATGGGCTCCTAGATCTGGTCCCAATGAGCGAGTGGTCTGTGAGCTTACCCTGTGATCGAAAAGTCCTGAGTTCGAGCACTGGTGGGTGTGTACTACTGCCGATGAGTCCTATACTTACTGTCCAGTACTCCCTCCCTAATGATGGCTTGTGATCTCATTTCATCGGACACTTGACTTCTCATCAGTGGCTTAAACCCTAAGCCACCCGAATGGCAGTTTAGACAGCCAGGTAACTGCTGTGCACTGGCATGTATTTACTTATTGAATAACGTTGTTTGAAAATAAATAAAAAAACTATCTTTCTACTCTTTTCTCAAAGTAGTATATAATAAGAGCATTAAAAAAAACGTTTAGAAAACTAGTGATGAATACATAGTACACCAAAATTTGATACTGTCCCTTCACACTGTGTT